CATGAGTTGGAATCTACTTGAGGGCAGTTAACAACAACAATAACAACAACAATAGATTGATGCCAGATCAGGCCCCAAGATTTTAAGGACCAGAACAGGAGACCTAGGGATGACTGCTTGTGCTGTTACAAGAGATAGATCCCAGTGACACCAGTAAACATGATGCATTAAGCATGAACCACAGTTGCACAAAGTTTGCTATTCAAAACGCCAAGTCTAACTAATGAGAAAGGCACACACTTTTCAGGACAGCACTCTTGCCCTGAGATTCATCCCTTTGAGAAGAAGGATCAGGCCCTGAAATATATCAGGGATGGGGAAAATGGGATCCATTGGCTGCATAGCGACCAAAAATGGTTTTGTGGGCTTTTCTACAAACACCCCCATGGTCAGAAAAAGATGTGCCCCTCCAAATATTTTTCAAGCAGGGGTAATAATAATAATAATAATAATAATAATAATAATCTTTAATGCCTGTCCTCAAGGCTCAAGGTGGAGTACAACATGTTAAAATGCAAAACACAATTTAAAAAGAAACCACATAAAACCAACAGTTAAAATAGACTACTATAAAACCATTAAAATACAACTCAATTTTACATCGAAACTAGTTGTAGCTTCCTCTCAAAGCCTCGAAACCAAATGGATTTCCAGTCATTTCTTATTTATTTATTTGTTTGAGTACATGTTTGGCTTGGTTTCAGGCTCAGGGAAATTGGTGTGATGAACATAAGATCTTTTGCCTAAATGTGCCAAAGGCACCAGATTCTGTCTGATCTTGGAAGCTAAGCAGGGCCAACTCTGGTTAGCACCTGGATGAGAGACCACCAACACATACCAGGTGCTGTAGCCTAGATTTCAGAAGAAAGCACTGGCAAAACAACCAGTGAGGATTCCTTGCCTAAGAAAATCCTATGAAATTCATGGGGCCGCCATAAGTCAACAGGCAAAGATACTGAAAAGAAAAAAGTTCCCTGCCCCCAGGAGACTTACAATATTAATTAAAACAATTGAGTAATGAAGAAGTGAGAGGTGAGGAAAGCAGAGTGAATTTGGGATCTGCATAAACAGGTAGGCTTCCATTCAGATGAGATTATGGAAATCTGATCATTTATTGGCTCTACATTCAGGTTTTCAAAGTAGCACCAGGGGGTAAAGGTGGGTTTTCCCCCTTTTTCAGCCCTATTAGAAATGGCAGGATTGAACCTAGGGTCTTCAGTATGCCAAGTTTGTCCTCTGTCCCTGAGCCATGATATTCTCTTTTTCAAAGGAACCATGCCAAAGTTAGATGTGAGCAAAGCCTCTCTTAAGCCAGTGCCCCTTCATCGCTCTTGGACTCTAACTCCCATTATCTCCAGTCAGCTTGGCCATTCAGGCTGGGCAAAAATAGCGGCAGGGAGCTTTAGCCCAAAGTCAGGGTGAAGAAAAGAGCTCGGAACAATTATACTGAGATCTTTCCTCTTTGTGTAAAAAAACGTGAGAGTGTGTCTGTTGAGAGTAAGGTGTCAACCCATCCGCAAGTGCACAGGTGGGAACCATGCAAACTTACAGATGTGGGTGGACTGCAACTCCCATCATTCCTCACCCTTGGCTATGTTGGCTAAGGGGTGCTGGAAATTGCAGACTAACCACATCTGGCGGTCCCCATGACTCTCACCCTTCACACTTGGGAATAGTCAAAATACTGCTTTTTGCTTTAAGTCAGAGATTGAAGGAAAAAATTGGGTTCAGTGCAGAGATCAGCTTTTAATCTCTCCTCCATAAGTAATTGTGTATGATGGTTTGTTGTTGCTAATTTATGGGGGAAATCTAACACACACACAAACACACCCTTTCTATGGGGAAAGTGTGGGTTTATGGATGTGTGTTCAAGTCGCCTGTTGACTCATGGCAACCCCATGAATTTCACAGGGTTTTCTTAGGCAAGGTGATTTTGCCAGTTCCTTCCTCTGAAATACAGCAGCTAGTATAAGTTTACAGTCTCCAATCCAAGTACTGACCAGGGCTAACCTTGCTTAGCTTCCAAGATCAGACAGGATCTGGTGCCTTTGGAGGTATTTAAGCAATGGAGAAAGTCATACCTCTGAAAAGACCCAGACAGCTTGAGATGCAGCCCTGGAAAGTGAGGTGAGACAGTGCATGGTGCCATTATCCCAGTTTAGCTACTCCGGAATAAACAGGTATGATACCACCCATCGCTTGAGCCCTGACCACTCTTGTTCGTGACAGTTGCCAAGACTCAAGAGTATGAAAGGTTGGGCTTTTAACCGCACAAGTCATTACTTTATGAGCAACAGTGCTTTATGGGTAGCAATAAGCGAGGGAGATTCCAGTGCACAATACATATTTACAGCCAGGGGACAGATGTGAAGCAGAATCCCCGTTTCAGGCATTGGTGTGGTGCAACACGCTGCAGGAGAGCCAGCCTGGCGTAGGGGTTTGAGTGTTGGACTATGACTTTAGAGACCAGGGATCGATTCCCAGCTTGGCCATAAAACTCCCTGGGTGATCTTAGGCAAGTCACACTCTCTCAGCCTAAGGATGGCAAACCCCCTCCGAATAAACCTTGCCATGAAAACCCCATGATAGATTTGCCTTAGGGCTGCCATAAGTCGGAATGACTTGAAGACACACAACAACAACCCATGATCTTTAGGCAATACTTCAGAGGCTGAAGTTGCAGTGCTCTTGCTTACTGTGCAACACCCCAAGACTGTTGTTGCCGTTCTCAACCAGGAGGATTTTAGATTATTCCTGGAAGGTTGCAGGGTTTAACGTAATAAAAAAAAATACCCCCCCAAAAAAAATATATAGAAAGGACTTCCAACCTGTTCCAGTATCTTTGTTTCACATGGCATTTTTGGCAGTCCATACAGCTGCTAGTAAGCTCTTGGGATAGAAAACTGACCCTCAGACCTGTTGTAGCTGACCAGTTCTGCTTTAGGTGCTATATATCTTGCCCTGGTTGAGCAAGTAGGGGCATGATTTGATTTTAGCAAGATTTACCTCTCCCAGTGTGTGCACAAATAATTTACACTGTGATTGAGATTATTCCAAGTTTGCACAGGAATAAGTCCCAATGTGTTTACCATGTAGAATTACTGAAGTTTGACACCACTTTAAGTGCTGTAGCTCCATCCTATGGAAACCTGGAATTTGTTTTAACATACAAGATTTAGTTTTACATACAAGATTTCACAGACCTTCTCTGCCAAAGAGTGCTGGTGCAAATTCCAGGATTCTGTAGGATGGAGCCATAGCAGTTAAAGTGGTGTCAAACTGCATTATTTCTACAGTGTAGATGCACCTAGGGTTTCATCCCTGTAAAGGTTATTTAGGAATGCATCTTGAGCTTGTTGTGTTGTTAATTCACCTGTTATACTGGCATTAATATGAAAAGTAGGAAGGAAAGAACCCAATCGGAGAGAGAGAAAGTGTATATGTGTATGTGAGTCTTTAAATGCTTCATTTATGGCCATCCATGCATATATATTTTCCTCGCTGTGCCCAATGGGAATGATGGGAGTTGCAATCCAGCACATCCAGAAAGCACTGGGATGGGCCAGACTATATTAAACAGGAGGAAACACAGAATCTAAGCTCTGTGTCAGTGTCAACCTGGATTATTTCTGCAGTGTGGATGCAGTAAGCATGCATCAGAGTGCACTGCTACGTGGCCAATAAATCAAGTTGGGGTAGCAATGCAGATTTAAATAACCCGGTATCATTGTGTACAATCCATGAGCAATTCCCTTTTAAGATGTGAAGTCGAAGACGTCCACGGCCGGCGTCCATAGTTTTCTGTGGGTTTTCCGGGCTAGGTGGCCACATTCTGGAAGAATTTATCCCTGACATTTCGCCTGCATTTGTGGCTGGCATCTTCAGAGGGTGGTGGCATGGGAGTGTGTGAGGTATATACACCTGTGGGACCCTTGTTTGAGGGGAAATGGTTTGCATGTTGACGGTGGGGTTAGTTTGTGTGTTGTACTGTGTTGAATGGGAACGCTTGGAGGTGAGTTGTGGGGGATATGTGAGAGGGATTTGTGTCTATTCAATTAGCCATCCATTGTCTGCAGGGTCTCTTTTAAGATTTTGCAAGTCCTTCTCAAGATTTTGCCAAATGCCTCTCTCTCTCTTTCTCTTCAATTGCATTGGGGGGAAGTTTAGGATGACACAGGAAGAAGGCCTGACTCCTGGTTTCCCAATGAAGGGGTGGGCTGCAGTGTCACCGTTGTCGTGTTTCAAAGGTCTTCTTGCACACAGGAGGAGGAGAGTTCCCTCTGTCCTTTTGGGAAAAGACCAAGCGCAGGGCTGGCGTCCAGACCCCCTTGCAAACATCAGATTCTAATGTCCAAGGCTGACTGCAAGGGGGCAGGGAGGAAGGGTGAGGGGTGATGGCCCCGGCTGAGCTTGCACAACTCGAGAGTCTGCTTTGCTGTTTGGAAAGGATTTGAGGCTATCTGAGAGATGAGAGAGGCCATGGAAAAACTAAATCCTACACCCTCTGGAACTGCAGTTATAGTCGCTTCCTCTGCAGACTTGCAAAACTTGCAATGGAAAATGCTCCGTCTCATTGCCTGCAAGGGAAAAGATGGAGGATGGGTTGCAGAACTTACACGTACCAGATCCGGTGGCTTTCCCAATAAACCAGTTTCAGCTTTGGTCCAGTTTTCATCAGGCTGCAGAATAATTTTATTTGGAAAAACACGTAGGGCCAAGGTCATCCAAAAAAGTCCTGGGTTTTACAAGATTTGATCTCATCTCATTTCTTCTTGGTCAGAATTGAAGCTGAGCATGGGGAAAGTGTTTTTTGGGGGGCACTACCCCTCCCAGAATCCCTCACTATGGAAACTGTGGTCAAAAAAATAACTTTTCCTAGGTCTGAGTTTAACACAATGCCCACTGTGCCACACACGTTCCATGACCAAATTATGTATATAGTTCCAAGATGTAATATGTGGCTAGTAAATCTGGATCTTTGTACTATACATTTATTTTTTTTAAAAAAGTAAGTTTCTAGCTCACAGGATTGTCAAGAAACATTTGGAAGAATCTCATACAAATGGACAAGTAAAAGCCTAAAACACTATTTGCTGCAGCCGTGTGAACTGATGTGCCTGACCCAAATCTCAAGTTATGGGGCACATTGTGTTTGCTATATACAAGCTAGTATGTAGCAGTCAACATCATAAAAGTGCATGGCATTGTTGTGTCTTTATAAATACATAGAGGGATGCCAGAAATCACACATGTTCTGCACATGTGCCTTTCTGCACTCCTCACACATCATCATGTCTGCAAATGCAAAGTGTGAACATGCTGCATTGCAATGTGAATCAAAGCAGTTTCTCCAACAAGTCATTGCAATACATTCCTCGTAAGTAGTTTCTCCATGGAACATAACCAAGGGCTGCTCTCTCGTCTGAGGGAAAGTATCTTACTGGACCCCAGCAATATCTGGCTAGTAAATTCCAACCACGTCAGAAGGGAGTTTCAGAAATGGCCCTGAAATAGCTCCCTTTAATCCAAGATAATGAAAGAAGGTTCAAAAGCCATCTGTTTTCTTCAAGACAATAGGCAACCGGCCTTGGTTGGGAGTGGGCTAATCTTCTTCACTCATCCTAAGAGATTTTTATAATGTTTGGCTCACAAAACCAAGCCGCTGGACAGACACACCCAAGGCAGGCCTTGGGCAGATAGACAAGGACAGATCAGGTGGAAGGACTAGTCTAAAACCGACTTTGGAAACATTCTTTGCAGACTACAGTTCCCAGAATCCACCTAGGGGATTATGAGAGTTGTCGTTTTAAAAAAAACTCCGATCTAAATATCGGTTGAACCGCAAAGGGATCTTGTAGCATCTTTGAGACTAATTGAAAGAGAAACGTTGGTAGTATGAGCTTCCATAGATTTGAGTCTGCTTTCTCAGATCCATAGGCATGCTACCAACATCTTTCTTTCAGTTAGTGTCAAAAGTGCTACAAGACCCCTTTGCTACTAATAGAAAGCTCTATCATGTGTAGCCAGGGTGGTGGGACATGCAAAGTCCCTCTGGAGTTTATCACATGGGAGGGAATCAGCCAAATCCCATGCAGAAACGGGATTTAAATCCACAAAAGTGGGATCATTTTCACACGCATTGAGCATTAATCCAAAATTTACCTGCACAGAAAGTGTATAAATCCTGCAAAAGTGGGATCATTTTCAGACACATTGAGCGTTAATCTGACATTAACCCGCATAGAAAGTGGACAAAATCAGCTGCTTTTTACTTTTGGGATTATCTTGAAAGTAAAAAGCAGCCAATTTTGTCCACTTTCTGCGCAGGTTAATGTCAGATTAATGCTCAATGCCCCCAATGTGTCTGAAAACAATCCCACTAGTGCGGGATATTCCTGGAATTCAAATCCAGTTTCTGCACAGGATTTGGGCACTCCTGATGAGGATCTCAAATTTCCAGTAGGCTCACACTAGCCTGTGGCCTCTGACACAATCTTCGCACCTAGGTTTCTTTTACTTGCAGATGCCAGAGTGAGCTTCACATTTATATATATATATATATATTGCTGTAATCATTAACTCAATAGGACAAGATCTTCACATGTCCTCCACTCATAAGCCTCCCTCATTTTTTACTGTTTTCCTTGGAAATCTGTTCAGGAAGAAAAAGAAGGAAGAACTGCAGAGAGCATCTGAGGAAGCAGACATATAGTCTCCAAAGCTTAT